TTTATATGTTACATCGCTAGTTTATGAAATCTTAGAGGACCAATAAACTTTGATGCTTCTGTTGCTGTAAAGTGATTATAAACTTCAATAAAACAATAAAAGCGACTAAGAACATGAAAGAGGCATTTTATCATCATGCAACATATACAGGCCTTTAAGTTTTATCATGATTACCGTCTCTATGTTTTTTTTCGCGATCAGGATAGGAAGCATATTAGTCTATCGCATTTTCAGTCACTGTTCCCATGAAAGAAATAGATTACTGACGTAGTTTTAAAAGCAAACTCGTGTGTTGAAAGGAAGTATGAAACGGTTTAAGATCCATATATATTCATATCTATTGCGTATCGACTTCAATTAAACAATAAAAGGGATTAAGAACATAAATGAGGCATTTTAAGATCATACAAAGTATATATCTGTTCAAGAACAGGCCTTTTTTAAGTTGTATCATGATTATCGTATTTATACTTTATACTTTTTCGTGATCAGGATAGGAGGCATATTTAGTCAATCGCTTTTTACAGTCACTGTTCCCATGGAAGAAATAGATTACTGACGTAACTCTAAAAGCAAACTCGTATGTTTAAAGGAAACATGAAACGGTTAAAGACCCATATATATTCATACATATTGTGTATCGATTCTTTCAAACCTGCCCGCTTGGTTTTAAATCTACTGCCTTGGGAAAAAAAGACTTTTATGACGCAATTTCGCAAAATGAAATTAGAGGGCCAAGAGCATATTTTTTGTTGTTGGAAAACATTGGTCCATTGGTTTATTTTCTCTTGGCCCATATCATTTCCTATACGTGGAAAGAATGTTTGAAATAGCCTTGGATAGCGGGACGCCATTTGGAAAGACGAAGTTCGAGCGGGAAATGAACCACATGTGGGAGCAAGTTAAGAGCCCCCGAAAGTATCACGTTGCCACGTTACGGCTTTGCCAAGCAAAGTTTATTTAATTTGCGGTTTTTCTTTTATCTGCATCTTTCTTTTAATAACTCACCCCTCTTTTTTATTGCTGTTAAAATTTTCCGCCTTCTTTATCGTCTTTTAAAATGAAATCAAAATGCGACTGAAAGCCGGCAAACAGAAGACTCACCACTCTTAGCTCTTTAATTCCACACTTCGATCGTACAATCCAGGTAAACTCTAACACAAGTTGTATCTCTTTAAGTTAAGCTGAAACAGAAGAAGATGACTTAAAAAACTAGAAAAGTAAACGAAAAGAGAAGAAAAAATACCTTTCTTAAAGGCGTTAAGATAAGCACAGATGAGGTTATTCACATATCCAGCGTTGCCGCGTTATAAAAGTCCCTTTCCGCACCAAGCGATGTAGCTACTCTTCGGTTTGTACCAATTTGAAAATTTGGTTCTGTCCCCATCTCCTTTCCTCTTCGTTCGTTACATTCTATTTTAACTATAAAATCCCTATTTTAAATTTAGTAGTAATTCACAACCTGTTATTAAAATGTATCCCATGAATTTCTAGAGCTGGTACATCGCCGAGCGCTTTGCTGAAGCCAAACAATGCAGAATGAACAGAAACTTTACAAGGGCACTGTCGAAGCGTCGAAACTGATAGCTCAATAGAAACGCAGCCGCTAAAACGAATTATTTTCTCAGTAAATAGTCACGTTGCTATTCAAAATTTAAACATCGAACAACTTCATCACCCTTCGATTATCGTACGAAAAGCCGAGCCGTTTGAAGCGTCTTTGAGTTGTTACTTTTGGCCGAAGACCGTTAAAAGAAGAAAAGGAGTCTTCCTTTCTTCTATTAACGGCCCATTAAGGCTAAATAATATCACAAATACGTCGATTAACATTTCATTCAACATAATTGAGATATTCAGACCGAGATGTAGTTCAGATATGCAATTTTCAGAGCTTTATTCATAACCCTCAGTTTTTGTTCGTTTCTTGTCAACAATTATTTACCACGAACACATAGTGTGGTCTGCCTGTGATGCTAGTCACTATGGCCACAACTCGTTCATTACTTAAATAAGTCAACAGCTCTGAAGAGGATTGAAACTCTATCATTTCAGAGGTAGGCAAGCCAGACGTGGAGGTGGCCCACAAAGCGCGTTTTTTAAAATTTCAGCAAGATGGCCCATCTATACTTGAAACGGATACGGTGTTTAAATATCTGTACCTTTTTGATGATGGCGATAAAATTTAAGACCGGAAATAAATTTTGGAATAACTTAAAAGGACAGTTTACATTAACTGAGGGAAAAAAACCGGCTGTCGGTTTCAACTGAAGAAGTCAGTGATAAAAATAAAGGAAACAAAAGGATTATCGCTATGACAGCAGCTTCGTAAATCGTCACCTTTGTAGTTTTTTTTTTTTTTACATTCATACGCTGCCAAGGTTAATGAGCGGAAAGAATTAGGCAGCAAGGGTACAAAGCAGGAGGTGCGCACGCTCCTATTGCGTGAGTCGTTTGCATTACGATGCGATCGAGTGAACATCTCTTATGCTAGCGAGAATAGCGTGATAATGTGAATGTGATGGATATTCACAGTCTGCTGCCGTTCCTTCAAAAGTAAATACAATACGAGAGGTATGTTAAAATATCTGATCAAGCTGTATTACTTCAAATGCTATACAATCCCGCCGCTCGGCTAAGGTGAAATCACAATGTTTCTGGAATGATTCGAGGAATTTTTTTTGGTTGGCTAAAAACAGCTCGACATGAAGGTTTTTTGTGGACAAAGTACCGAATGCGCGTATTTTGCTTATTGCTCGTATTTTCCGTCGCCCCACCCGAGGCTCGGAAAATATTTCGCAACTCGCAAAATATCCGCGCGTATTATGTGTTAAACCATCGAATATAGTGTATGTATCGATGATGCACAGGACACATACATTCAATATATAAAAGATGAAGAAGTGGAAGTCGTTTAATTTATATTCAACATCCTGGCTTTTTTTAATTTCAAGTAGCATACATGTAGGCGACATAACTTGGAAATACGTGCATACGATAAATTGTCCACAGAGGGCCGGCGTTTCTAACAGGACACCGAAAGAAATGAAATATTTCATCGCCCTCGGTAGACTTTTTCATTGTGTTTTCAAGGCACTACAAAAAAACTTCTTTATCGAAAGTGAAATAAAACTTTTTCTCTCGTAAATTTACACCGAGTCACACAACGCGTGACACTTTCATGAATTAATCGTTTGCTTTTTTCTCAAGACGCTTATGGTGTGAAGATTTTGAAAATACCTCGGAAAACAGCAGTTCCGAAGAAAGTTCTAGTGAAGATGAAACTGACTCTTGAACCTGACTGTTCAATGATCAAAGCGACAGTAAGCACCGTAAATTCTGCCGCAGCAATAAAGTAATGGGCTCCTATGCTAAGGGCTCCTGTCCCATACAAACTCTTATATTTTCGCCATGACGCCCTTTACGCAAGATCCCATCCCAAGCTGGAGCTTGGGCTGCCTGTGGTCAGTCAGGAATTTTAAATGTAACTGTTACAGGCAGAAGGCCGCCAAAATATTTAATTTTTAAGCGGCAAGCAAACGGTGAGGGTAAAAGATTTGTACTTCGGGATACATCATGATGATCAGTACCCTGCTTACTCAGGATATAACTATTATGGCTCCCAAGTTTACGTTTAAGCCGAATCCTTAGGCTCAAGTACTGTTCAATTTGAATATCCATAATTGCCATTTCGTGGTTAACAAATATTTTTCTGTTTTTCATTGCGCCTACGATTAACGAACAGAAAATTTACAAACAACAGACTTAGTCAGCGGAGTACGCCCGGGCCTGAGCGGAAATAATTTGACAAGAAGGCTGCGAGGGAACAAGGCTACAGATCGGAAGTACCGTTCAGCTTGGATTAAGTTCTGAATTGTGCTATCTAATCGAAAATCGATACACAAGGCTCCTCGTTTTTCAAAAAAACTCCTACTATATACAATATGCTATCTCAGTAAAAATGCGATTCAATCTCGCCGAATGGTTAGGCGGAATCACAAAATAACTATTTCAAATTGAACGGTATCGATTATTGCCTGAAAGAAAGAACTGGTAAATCGGGGGGCTTTTTCGATGTCACTTCGTTAAGATTGCTCGAAAGCTTCCGAAAAGTCATAAAAAGATCTAAGTGACAATAGCCATCTAACACCAACGAACAATGAAAGCTTTCCCCAAAAGCAGTCCTAGAAATCAGCATAAATTAATAACCTGTGTAAACTTAGAAGAGTGTTTTCTAGATAAAATTGACGTTTTGAAGGAGAAAACGATAAAAGCAAATCCTGAGTTTTATTCCTTTCTCACCTAGTGAGATTGCTTCGAGAGCTTCCGAAACACGTTATAGTCAACAACTTTACAGAAGACAGTGAACACACCTTAGGGCGTGGCGCGACATGAAACCTTTTTAGGAAATGACTACATTTACTATTTGTGTATTGTATTTAATGGTCCACAGCCGCACTTGAAGTAAGAACAAATTAAGTAATCAAGGAAATAAGAAACCGACAAATTAGCAAAGACAAAAGAAAACAAAAAAAATTGCATATTTATTTCTCTAAAAGACTAAAAATCAGTTGAACTTTCCCTCTTATGATTATGATGTCGTTTTCCAACACATGCGTGATATTGAAATTTCCCATCATTTTTTCTTTATCATGGTCAAGATGATCGAATTTAATTCTTACTGAATTTTGGAGCATCTTGCATGAAAGCATGTCTTTGATTCGTTTCGTTTCGTCCTTAGGTATCTCGCAACCTTACTTAATAATAGATCTATCGGCAAAATAAACCAAAAATGGGTTAGATGAACGGAAAGGAATTATTAACGAAAGGCATAGATTATAATTGACCCTTCTTAAATGAATCGAAAAGAAACGTTTGTTCAGAGAACCCGTCCGTGGAAATAACTTTCAGCTTTTTTGTGTGTTATTTCTCAGGTATCACAGGCAAAGATCTGCCTAACCAATGAATTGAGCAAGATTCCGCGACGCCCGGTCGTTGGTAAAATGGCCTTACAACCATTCACGAATGAACAACTGAATTATTTCAAGTTTGCTTTCCTCGTGTTAAATGAATTTCCCAAAGCATTACGGCAAACCTTTAAACAGATGTGGAACAACACCGTTGCGTCACGTCCTGGTTTTCAGCCTTGGGATGACTCTAATGCTGTACGTAACTTGTTCTTAAGCACTGAAGGTGGAGCATCCAAAGTCCCCACACATCTTTCCTATGATGAATGGGATTGCACAGTCTTGTTCCAGGCCACCATCTACGCGCGGTCCTTTGCTTTGCCAGATAGCAAAGGCCATCACAGGATACTCCATGATTTGTATTTGAGGTCCTGTAAATTACCACGTGGTACTTTCCATTCCTCTGTGGTTAGCTCGACTGGAGATGACGCAGAAACCTTTGCACTGGCGGTCGATCAGCTTCGTTTGTTGAGAAATTCGCTCTTTCATTTAAATAAATCCGAATTGGACAAAATAAAATACGATCGATACGTTCAACTCGCTAAAGATTCGATTAAAGCCCTTGGAGTTAATACTGACCCTATTGATGCTGTTGGAGGTTTGACTGAGTCTGACTTTCCCACCGAGAAAGTTCGCAAGTTAGAAGATGACGTCAAAAAAGAACTTCAAAAAAAAAACGAATTCCTCGAAGAAGAAGTTATTGATGACTTGCAGCTCTTACAGAAATCTCAAAAGGAAGGTACTGAAGAGCTAAAGAACGCAATCGAATCTGCAAATGCCACTACCCAAGACACGATTGAAACTAAGTTTTCCGAGTTCCAAACTGAAAGCAGACTTGTCAGAGAAGGTGTTAAAGATGAGCTTCATCTTCTACAGGAATCACACAAAGACGATACCGAGAGCCTGAAAGAGGCAATCGCTGCTAGTGAAGAAAGGATGGTTAAGAAGATTAACGAGTTTAGCCAAGAGATGAAAGACCTTCTGAGGGAGCCCCAAAGTCTAGGTAAATCGCAAATTAAAACGCAATATTTTTGTGATTCTGATTTGACTAAAACTTGAACCGCGCTTTTACCGGGCTTCAACGAGCGACCTGGTACTCACGATTTTGTGTCCTTCACAGTCGCTGAATAGTCTTGTATGTAATCGACACGCAATGCCCTCTCTTTAAAAAACAAGTTTAGTACGAGGAAAAAAGTGGCGACATGGGAAGCTACTCAAAAAATGTCTCTGCTATGTTTAGTCAAAGATTGATTAAACCGTTATGATTGCAGCCACGAAGGAGGGATAAGAACTAATCAACTAAAAGTAGTGTTTCCCTATACACCTCTTTCAAGCTATCACACAGTCGGTCGAGTCTTCTTTATTTGTTCAGTTCACTTCCCTTGTGCCACAAAGGATTTTGAGGGCATACTGATTGATCTTGTAAAAGCCGGTTCTTTAATTATATTTTCATTGTCTAAAACCAACTTCTTTCTAGGATTTAAACCACGTTTTTCACGATTGAATCTTCCTTCTCACTTTACTGGCCGTGAAAAAGAATGTGAAGAGATTATTGACCACTTGACCTCTGATTCCACGCAAATCGTATCAGTTTGGGGGTCACCAGGGTTTGGAAAGACGTCTACTGCAATCGCTGTTGGTCACCAGCTTCAAAAGGTCGGTCTACCTGTCTGCTCTATCTCACTGCGCGGGCTTAATTCAAAAGTTGATTTAACGTCAAAGTTACTCAGCCACTTTCGAACTGCTGAATCGAAAAATCAGAGTTTGACAGCTGCCGATGAAATTGGTTTCATCTTTGAAAGACTATCGGATCCATGTTTGTTGATTCTTGATAATGCAGATGACTTGTTTGAATGTGGCGAGCCAGATGTGAAAGAGAAGACTGTTAATTTAATAAAAGACCTTCTCAATCGCAGTGAAAAGGTCAAATTTCTATTAACCACACGGGAGCCAATGGCCTATTTGGATATGTCTCTACAGGGACACAAGTCCACCAGAATAGGAGAACTCGACAAGTTGTCCTCAATTGCTTTAGTGAAAAAGTTACTTCCACATGCGAGCTCCTCTGACGCAATAAAAATCGTGCACATGTGCGGGCAGGTTCCCCTAGCCATATGGTTGCTATGTAAGTTGCTCTCTGACGATTCTGCTCAATGTAGTGCAGCTCTTGATGAATTAATGCTGTCTAAAAGTAGCCTACTTGAGTCGCTGGACAACCCAGAATATACCAGTGATGCAAGGCTTAAAACCCTGTTTGAATCGTCTTTCCTGAGACTGTCTTCGCGGGACCAAGAAGCACTGGTGTCTTTGAGTGTTCTTCCAGAAACATTTGATCTTGAGATTGCTACAGCCGTTTTAGGACTAGAGAGATCCACCGAAACTAAGGAAGTTTTGAGAAGACTACAAGGGAGGGCTCTCATAGATAGATGTTCAAACTCGGACAAATTCTCCATTCACAAACTTTTACAATCCTTTGCAAAAGACAAGGGTGAACGTGAGATGGGAGAAACAATTTTGATTGCGAACACTCGCTTTTTATTATTCTACATTGACTTGGCTGAGAAACTGAATGAGATGTTCCTCACAGGACACTCCATGAAAGCATTGATCGAGTTCTTCGACAATGAAAGAAGCATTGTAAAAAGTTTGATGGATGGTTGTACAAACAACGAGGTAGCGGACAGAGTTTTTCAAGTTTTGGCAAAAGCAGAGTTTTTTCTTGATACTGCTTATTGGGACGACGAACCTAATTTTGACAAGATTTATCAAACAGCAATAGAGGCAGCTAGTCAGCTTGGACGAAGTGTTCTCCACAGACAACTGCTTCAATCCAAAGCATTTGGCTATATGACTTGGGGAGGAGTTGGGAAAACAATGCTGTTGCTTTCGGAGGCCAGAAGACTTCAAAGTTTAACCACTACCTCTTGTCCCGAAGAGAGAGGCAAACACTTGTGCTACTCTGGCATCTATCAGCTTGTGGTTGGAAAGACGGACGATGGAGTTGAAAGTTTAGAAGGAGCTATTTCCCTTCTAAACAAAACTGCTGAGCTCAAAGTTCTGAGACTTATGATACTTCAAATCCTTGCTATTTTCTATGGATGCACAAAAGGCGATTACGAGTTGTCAGCCATGTTCTATGACAGAGCAGTGCAAGAATGCAAAGAGGCAGAAGACATGCATCTATTAGTAATTCCGGATAATAACGGAGAAGCAAATTATAGGGATGAACACAGAGTACCCTCAAGTACAGAAAATCTTGGAAACGAACCCATTGAAATTGGAGTGATCTATCTTGTGGTCAGCGCAATTAAAAAAATATGTTCAACTGAAATTACAGATTTTTCGATCAAGCTATTGCTCAGAATACTTCAAGGCATCGATTCAACCAATGAAATGACGAAACCTGGATGGTTTAGATTTCAAGCAATTGCAATTACTATGCTGAGTACGTTTCATAGGTATCAGGAAGGTTTATCACTAACTCAGAAGCTAATAACCTACTACCTAAATTCACTGCAGAAGGGGACGACAGGCGAAGAAAACTTTACCTCTAGTCTACAAAAAGAAGCTCTAGCAGAGTGGTATTTGCTACAAGGGAAAAATCAACATTGCCTACGTCACTTCTCAGAAGCTTTCACCTCAAAACAGCATGCCCTTACCATCATCTTAGAACTCTTCGGTGAAAAACATATAAAGACTGCCGATGTATACTCAGAATTAGGGTTTACAAAACACGAACTAGGAGATTATAATTCAGCTGCGGAGTCTTACAGGCTTGCACTCGACATCAGAATTCAATTACTTGGGGAAAAACATCGGAGGATCGCTGACAGCTACAATGACCTGGGGATTACCGAACATGCACTAAGAGATTACACCTCAGCCGCAAAGTCCCACAAACGTGCACTTAACATAAGACAAAAGGTATTGGGTGAAGATCATGAGAACACCGCTAACAGCTACTCCAACCTGGGTATTAACCAATATGATCTTAACGATTACACCTCAGCCACTGAGTCACACAAGCGAGCACTAAACATCAGACAAAAGGTATTGGGTGAAGATCATGAGAAAACCGCTGAGAGCTACAATTACCTGGGGGTTACCCAATATGTGCTTAAGGATTACACCTCAGCCACTGAGTCATTCAAGCGAGCACTAAACATCAGACAAAAGGTATTGGGTGAAGATCATGAGAAAACCGCTGACAGCTACTTTTACCTGGGGAATACCCAATATGTGCTTAAGGATTACACCTCAGCCACTGAGTCACACAAGCGAGCACTAAACATCAGACAAAAGGTATTGGGTGAAGATCATGAGAACACCGCTGACAGCTACAATCAGCTGGGGGTTACCCAATATGTGCTTAAGGATTACACCTCAGCCACTGAGTCACACAAGCGAGCACTAAACATCAGACAAAAGGTATTGGGTGAAGATCATGAGAAAACCGCTCACAGCTACAATGAGCTGGGGATTACCCAATATGTGCTTAAGGATTACACCTCAGCCACTGAGTCATTCAAGCGAGCGCTAAACATCAGACAAAAGGTATTGGGTGAAGATCATGAGAAAACCGCTCACAGCTACTGCAACTTGGGGGTTACCCAATATATGCTTAAGGATTACACCTCAGCCACTGAGTCACACAAGCGAGCACTAAACATCAGACAAAAGGTATTGGGTGAAGATCATGAGAAGACCGCTGACAGCTACTATAACCTGGGGAATACCCAATATAAGCTACAGGATTACACCTCAGCCACTGAGTCACACAAGCGAGCACTAAACATCAGACAAAAGGTATTGGGTGAAGATCATGAGAAGACCGCAGACAGCTACGATCAGCTGGGGATTACCCAATATGTGCTAAGTGATTACACCTCAGCCACTGAGTCACACAAGCGAGCACTAAACATCAGACAAAAGGTATTGGGTGAAGATCATGAGAACACCGCTCACAGCTACTTCAACTTGGGGAGTACCCAATTTGAGCTTAAGGATTACACCTCAGCCACTGAGTCACACAAGCGAGCACTAAACATCAGACAAAAGGTATTGGGTGAAGATCATGAGAAGACCGCAGACAGCTACAATCAGCTGGGGGTTACACAATATGTGCTTAAGGATTACACCTCAGCCACTGAGTCGCACAAGCGAGCACTAAACATCAGACAAAAGGTATTGGGTGAAGATCATGAGAACACCGCAGACAGCTACTTATAACCTGGGGATTACCCAATATGCTTAAGGATTACACCTGCTTAAGGATTACACCTCAGCCACTGAGTCACACAAGCGAGCACTAAACATCAGACAAAAGGTATTGGGTGAAGATCATGAGAACACCGCTGACAGCTACAATCAGCTGGGGCGTACCCAACTTGAGCTTCAGGATTACACCTCAGCCACTGAGTCACACAAGCGAGCACTAAACATCAGACAAAAGGTATTGGGTGAAGATCATGAGAACACCGCTGACAGCTACAATGAGCTGGGGATTACCCAATTTGAGCTTAAGGATTACACCTCAGCCACTGAGTCACACAAGCGAGCACTAAACATCAGACAAAAGGTATTGGGTGAAGATCATGAGAACACCGCTGACAGCTACAATCAGCTGGGGATTACCCAATATATGCTAAGTGATTACACCTCAGCCACAGAGTCACACAAGCGAGCACTAAACATCAGACAAAAGGTATTGGGTGAAGATCATGAGAACACCGCTGACAGCTACTTCAACCTGGGGATTACCCAATATGTGCTAAGTGATTACACCTCAGCCACTGAGTCACACAAGCGAGCACTAAACATCAGACAAAAGGTATTGGGTGAAGATCATGAGAAGACCGCAGACAGCTACGATCAGCTGGGGATTACCCAATATGTGCTAAGTGATTACACCTCAGCCACAGAGTCACACAAGCGAGCACTAAACATCAGACAAAAGGTATTGGGTGAAGATCATGAGAAGACCGCTGACAGCTACTATAACCTGGGGCTTACCCAATATATGCCTAGAGATAACACCTCAACCACTGAGTCACAAAATCGAGTACTAAACATTACACAAAAGGTATTGGATGAAGATCATGAGAAGACCACTAACAGCTAATGTAACCTGGGGACTACCCAATATGTACTTTAGGATTACACCTCAGCCACAGAGTCACTCAAGCGAGCATTAAACATCAGACAAAAAGTATTGGGTGAAGATCATGAGAAAACCACTGATAGCTTCAATTAATTGGGGCTTACCCAATATATGCTTAGTGATTACACCTCAGCCACTGAGTCACACAAGCGAGCACTAAACATCAGACAAAAGGCGTTGGGTGAAGATCATGAGAACACTGCTGACAGCTACTTTAACCTGGGGGTGTCCCAATGTGTGCTAAAAGATTACACCTCAGCCACTGAGTCACATAAGCGAGCCCTAAAAATCAAACAAAAGGTATCGGTTGAAGATCATGAGAACGCCGCTGACAGCTACTTGAACCTGGAAGTTACCCAATATATAGTTAGAGATTACACCTCATCCGCTGAGTCACAGAAGCGAGCACTAAACATCAGACGAAAGGTATTGGGTCAAGATCATGAGAAGACCGCTGACAACCTGGAGATTACCCAAGTTAAATTTGGAGATCACACATTAGCCAGCGATTTTGACAAGCCAGGTGTAGAGATCAAACAAAAGGCATCGGGTGATATCATGAAACATAGCTCACAGCTACCATAACTTAAGGGGTTACCCAATATATGCTTAGAGATTGCACATCAGCCACTGAGTCACATAACAAGCACTAAACATCAGACAAAAGGTATTGGGTGAAGATCATGAGAAAACCGCTCACAGCTATCATTAGCTGGGGATTACCCAATATATGCTTAGAGATTACACATCAGCTACTGAGTCACACAAGCGAACACTAAACATCAGACAAAAGGTATTGGGTGAAGATTATGAGAAGACCGCTGACAGCCACCATAACCTGGGGTTATTCAATATATGCGTTGAAATTACACAATCCTGCCATTCAAGACATTAGAAATAAATAACATCGTCTTATAAAGGAAAATGCTGATTTTCGTTTACTTCCGACATAAATATTGCATTATACAGCTTGCATCACTTGTGTGATGTAAATGCAAAATGTAGTAATCAATACATCCAATCAGAACACAGAAAATACCACCAAGAGACAACTAGAATTAGAAGCGTGGGAAAACACTAGTTCCGAGTCGCAATTGGTTTCAGTCTTGCATCTGATTGGTTGAAAAAGTGGCGGGACAAATCACACGACCAAGTAAAGCAAAACCAGTGCAATCCCAATTTACTTCTGGCATTAAACAGAATCTGTCATTGCTCGGTCAAAATGTTATCAGCTCGCAGACTTATCCACCGCAAGAGCCATGGACATGTTGCACATCAAGTCTTTCCTTGACGGAGACCAAATACTTTGGAAGGAGCTTAAAGTCACCAAGACTGATTAGTATAGATTCTTTTATGTACAAACTAAAAGGGGACTTGTTTTCTTGCTTCATCAAAGTATAACTCTGTCTCTTGAAATTCCTTGTAACTTGTTTTGGATCCAATACCGTCAAGTTCTCGTAAATACCCATCATCCCTTGGATACATCAGGTCCAAACGAACTGCAGGCTCATGAGTAAAAGCTCTAATGTTTGCGGTGCTCAACAAGTCCGAAAGTCTTTGAGGAGATTCCCAGATTCTGTTATAACCAGGCCGACTGACGTTTCGAGCGATAGCCCTTCGTCAGAGCTCTGACGAAGGGCTAACGCTCGAAACGTCAGCTTTTTTACTCTTTACGTAGGTCAATTTAAGTTTTCAACTCAGTTTTTAACACTAAATTACCTGCTATACTCTTTCACCGACACAGCACCACAGTTTCTTTAGAAACTTACCCCCTTTATTCATTCGACTTTTTTCTAATTTGAGCCACGCGAATTCGCGGTTGAGAAGTTTTCTTTCTTGCAAAAGTTGTCTATCACGATTTAAAAGTGTAGTTACCTAAGCAAAAGCAACAAAAATGATTGGTGCCGGATACCTAAAGTGTAAAAACAACTGAGGCGAAAGCAACTTTTTAAAAAAAATAAGCAAAGCTGAGATAAAATTTAAGAAAGCTAGAACACAAGTAACTCTTTCTTCTTAGCGCTCATTTAGCTGTAAAACAAAAACCACAGTAACGAAAGATCGATGCAATCCTGAATTACCTTAGCCCTTTAGCCCCTAAGAGTGACCAGCATCTAATTTCTCCTTACAATATCATCCCCAATTCACACATTAAGGTCACGAGAAGGAAGAAAATGATCACCAACAAATGAAGCTCTTGATTAGTAAACAAAGTCTCCTTCTCTTCTCCTTAGGAAATGTATAGAGAACAGTATGGAGAATATGCATACTGATCTTAGGGTGTTAAGGGTTAAAGACTCAACTGAAAGTCGCGTTAAAAATTTTGAATAACAATTTGAAAGACTCGAGTGACATGTAGTAAGTGAATTGATTGTTTGGCTCTTTAATGAGAAAATAGCAACGAGGAAATAACGAAATCAACAACAACAACAAAATCAAGGTTTCAGTATAGTACAGGATAGCGCACTGCGTGTAAACATAGCTTGCTGCATCTGCTCTTTTTTCTGCATCGACGACCATACTTTGAAGTTTCTCATGAAAGAGCCTTGATGACGAAAGTTAGCCTCCAACTGCAAAGGGGATAAAAGGAAAATAGAAAGTTAGCAGCCAGGGCAAAAACTCTCCGAACATCAAGAGCGAACCTCTCCTACTTTGACAGAAAGGCGAATGAAACAGATTTTGGCGCGCACTCACTTTAGACACAGACAAAAACAACGACATGTATTTCCAATACTAATAACAACAATCACTTAGTGACTGTTGTCGAGTAGCACCTCTTCTCTCGCCTGCCTCTCCTCGTTTAACTGGACGTTCAGTTCATTATTCCTTCGTTTCTGCTCGTTAATCTCTTGTCTAGTAGAGAGAAGGTAAAACAATAAAGTGAACATATGTGGCTAAGAGACGATTCAGAGTGTTTTCTCCTTTTTTTTTAATACCACTTCAATGAAAGTTGTTCTACTAGAGACTGTTCTTTTAGAGTCGTCAGTGTTATGTCAGCCCGGACATTTAGGTGTAAAAGTGTACATTGGGGAAAAAATTTTTGGGTTTTGCCCCACTGTGAATCAAATTGAAGGGATTATAACTGTTTGCAAAGCTACAAAATGAATGAAAAATTTATACTAACCTTAATCTTTTCCTCAGTCAAAGTTTCAGGCAAAATTTTGTACAGTTTTCAATGTGGCGTAAGTTTTAAACCGAACAAAAATTATTGTAAAGAAAGTACAAGTTGCTGTGGCAACCGAAGCTTCGTCTTTCAAAAAGTGCCGTATGGACAACAGAAGGGCAATCTTTGTAAGAAATGCCTATCATTACTTTTGTTCATCTCTAAAAAATACGCAAGAAACGACAGTAAAATCTTACCTCAACTCATTCACTGTTGCCGAATGTTGCAACTTACCTCTTATAAATTGGACGGAGCTCTCACTTAATTAAGGTGCAAGGAACGAATTTTAAACTCTACTTCGTACATGAAAGCTGTCCATCAATCCAGGGAGTGTTTAAAAAAGTGACTTGTCAAGCCACCGGCGCCACAACAAAAATGTGTGTCAGGTTCTGCGAGAAAATTGACGAGCGCACCACGGCCGTTGTAAATAAAATTAATTATACATGAGCTTTATTAGACAAAAACTCCAAAAGCTGTCAGAAAGCCCTGATTTGAAAGATATCACAGTATAATTTGTTAAATGCTTGTTCTTATGCGTGAAAGTGCTTTTTAGTTCGCAGGCTTATCCGCCATTCCCGACAACATATGTTTTTCCGTTTATAACAATAAGACTGAAAAAGTTTGTTGACAGTGAGTTTTGTAATAAACTTGAATCAAATTGTAATCTATTTTAAATTAATGATGAATTAGCGAAAGGAACAATTTATTCGTAACCATTTTCAACCGGTCACTGGTAGCCAATGGGACCTCAAGTAAACAAAGTTAAGGAAACTTTTCGATGTCAAATGATAGAGACAGTTTTTTTTTTTTCGAAAGTTATGACCTGCTGAAAAAACTTTTGAGTCACCTCTGTCAAAAGCTGAGAGAGGTTTAAACTTCGCAAATATAAATTCCACTCTCGTCATTGATTTACATGCGAAGATCATTTAGATCTGCTTACACAAGTAAATTCTCTCTTGAGATTTGGACACATCCCATACGTACATTTCTGAGAATTTGGTATTAGATCAAGACAGGTTGAAGAGGCTTGATGCCTTTTAAACCTCTTGTTTGATGAAAAATACAGCCACGTTTTTTAATTTGTTGCTCTAATAACGGCATCTCACAAATTTCCACTCTTCACTGACTAATTCAATTTCTTAGCCCCGTCCCAAGAACTTGTCTAAGGAAGAAGGCATTTATAGCTGAAGAACACCCTTAGTTTTAGTTGTAGGTGTCTGTAAATTGAAAACAGATTTGGTTACTCCAACATTTGGTCTTACGGCGGTGTAAGACAATGATTAATTTTTCCGGCTTCTTTTTTTTTTTCCATCACATTTACTCCTAGGCTCTATTATTTTGACCTTTTAAATTTTCTTATTCCACGTCATTTGTTAAAGTAACAAGCTCGTAAATAAGGATGAGTGCACTTTTTAGAAATGCATCGTGATCAGCCGTTGATAGAAGTGTAGGTTCAGAGCCATCTTATTTTCAGATAAATTAGGGTAGCTGTCTATCTTATTTGAAAAATGCTGTAGTTTTACTGCCATATGAACTTAATAAAGCTGCTACAGAAATGAAAAGACACTCCTCTTATCAAACAGCCACTTTCCAATTATCATCCATCATGGCTGATGTTTTAATCAGCACACAGGAGCGTGGTCGAGTAAAATCGGATGCTAAGATCAAATAATGTTCGCACGTGTTAGACTACTTCAAGCTCCTGATTAGAACGTGAACAGCTGGTAGAGTGATTTGGAGTTATTGTTTCTTACTCAGGCAAAGCCAGCAAATAGAAAGCAAACTCTTGCTGAATTAGAAGAATGAAAACGCCTATCTTTTTTTGAGAAAAGAAAAACACATATGGGTCTGTTTAATAAAAAACACTCCAAAACTTTCCCAAAAGAAATGGATAAACAAATAAATAGAAAAATCGCAAGAAAAAAAACATCATTAAGTTGACCTCATGCCGTACCACATACATTTGGGTTTTATGGGCATTCGTTGGAAATTTGTTGCGGAGAAAGAAAGATGGTGCTCTATTTAACACTCGTTCATTTCTGGTCTTCTGGATGTGGAACAAAAAGCAGAAAGGAGAAAATGCCCGAGAGACTAAAAAATTCATATTTTTTCTCCGATGAAAAATTTTAGAGTAATATGAGGAAAAATAAGCACGCCTTGAGATTTCAGAGAATAACCATATCAACCGACGTGGTCCTTTTCAACTAACGACGCCGCCATTTTTTAATTTGGCTTAGCAACCTGGCTAATTACTGTTCGCGTTAGAAGAGTCCCTCATTTTTTTACATACATTGGCGATCTAGTTTGAACAATTAGGAGATGCAAAAAACGTAGTATTGACTCAAATAATGATCTTTTGCGGTGCCAGAACAGCAGCTGTTGACTGCAAGCTCGTTCAGTAATGTTCCTTATCATATGATCCGTACGGCCCCACGCGAACATGATATGAAAGTCATAAGACAAAAATCCCCGCAGGAAGGCTGCGCGCAATGACTTGAGCTAGGTTAGGAAAAAGCCGCACGACTCCGCAAGAAGTGAATTTATAGAGTTAC